CAGCCCCCTTCCCCCACCCCGTTCGCTCTGCTTCCGACCTAGATGGATGCCTTGCCTGTGTTTCATTTCGGCAGTGGTCCCGACCCCGTCCTGGGGCCAGCGTTAGATTACAGATAACGTTACAGATAGCGCTCAGCGGCAGCGAGACCCTCCCCCACCATGACCTCTGCCAGCGAGTGAATGGGAGAGGCCAGACCAGGCTGCAGAGCAGGGGTAGGGGGATAAGAACAGAAGAGCGAGCTGGGCCATAGTGGTGGGCGAGTCAAGAGCCCAGCATGCAGCTGGGAGCTGGGGTTGAGGGAGACCAGAAGGGGCTCTTCGGAGTCACGAATGGGAAACCGAGGCCCATCCCGCATCCCGCCGACTCTCAGGGGCACAGGACTCCTGACGTGGGTCTCCCCTGAGTGGTGATCTCTGTAGTTTCCTCCTTTCCCAGAGCACCGTGCAGGGGCCGGGTTTATTTACCCACTCTACAACAGTGGTACGCCTAGACCCACTTTCCAGATGGGCACACTGAGGCTGCGAGTGCTGCATGGCCACCTACTGTCTTGCAGGGAGACAGTGGAGGGGCGGGGATAAAACTCCAACTTCGTGGTACTAGTCCAGTGAAGACAGGGACATTCTTGGATCCTAAAATGGGGAGGCAGGAAAGGGTATAGCAGGACTCACGTGCTGGCACTTACTGTGTGCAAAACGGGGGTGAGCACCTACTGTGCACAAGGTGGGTATGGGCACCTACTGTGTGCAAGGTGGGTATGGGCACCTACTGTGCGCAAGACAGGGGTGAGCCCCTACTGTGCACAAGATGGGGGTGGGCACTTACTCTGTGCAAGATGGGGGTGGGGCCCTACTGTGTGCAAGATGGGGGTGGGCACCTACTGTGTGCAAGATGGGGGGTGGGCCCTCCGAACTCACAGCCAGAGGCAAGAGGTGGAATCACGAGCAGGCAGTGTGGGACCTGAACAGTGGGGTCAGGAACATTCCGTGAGGCTGACCAGAGGGGGAAAAGAGCTCGGGGTCGGGAAGGACGGCTCCTGCGCCCTGATCCAAACTTTCCTTCCCACTGCTCCCCACCCTCGGGCCTTCCTGGCCTGGACTCTTAGGTCCCAAAGGCTGGGCTGGACTGTGTCCCCTCAGAAGACGGTGCGGCCACAGCAAGTCTCAGAAAGCCAGAGTTGCTAGTAGCTTGGAAACCCTGGACAAAGATCCCTCGTCAGGGACGAGATTCCAGCCCCCTGGGACAATAGGACTCCATGCCCTGGGGAGCCTTGGGCTGGGGTGTCAGGACAGCTGTGGACTCACAGGCACCTGGACATGCAGACAGACTCACGCGGTCCTGTCGGCCTTGGCAGCAGCTGGTGTCTGGCTGCTAAATGCCAGGACACTGTGGGGGTTGAGAAAGCTGTCAAAGATGCCGACTCCATGGGGCCAGCAGGTGGTGCAGTGGTTAGGGCTCTGGATTCTCACATGGCTGACTGCGGTTCGAGTCCCAGACCCAGTGGTTTGAAAATCACGCCGAGTACATCCTCTGCGTCATGGCTTGTGTGCCCAGGACCCTGAGAGAAAAGTGGAGGGAACGGGGTGGGGGCGTGGCCATCTCTGGGGGGAGGTTTCTCACTTTCCCTCTCTCTGTCCTCTCCTCTCTGGGGAGGGCAGAAGCTCTATGGTGAAAAGGTTCGCAGAGGTAATGTGGGCTCGAAGACAGGGCACTGCACTTTCTTGTATCTGAAACTCGGATTTGCACAGCCGGCCTCCGGCTCCCCGTCCTCGTGAGCTTTCCACCCTCCTAGGCATCCCTCGAGAAGCCCCGAGATCCCCCAGTTCCCCCAGCCCCGGGCGCTCATTCCACAGATGGGGAGGCTGAGGCTTGAGCAGGAAGGGGCTGCCCGGGGATCGGAGTCAGCAAGTCAATGGGACCCAGTCTGGGGCCAGCCCGGGGGTCCCAGCCACCCCGCGGGGACTTCCGGGAGATAATAATCGCAGCTTTGTCGCGTTCTTCGGCTCTCCCTTGATCTTTCTCTTTCTCTCCTTTTTTTTTTTTGTTTTTGTTTTTGCCATAGGACCCTCCTGGGGGTAGTGGGGAGAATGAGAAATCACCCCCCAGGGGCATGGCCGTGAGCAATCCCTTTTCTATTTTCTGTTGTCTTCCTGGATTTGGGGCACTCACACATATGTACCCAGTGTGTTTTTTAAGTCACTGGGTCTGGAACTTGAGCCACGGTGGGCCATGTGGAAATCCGGTGCCTTAACCACCCTGCCACCTGCTGGCTCCTGTTTCTCTTCATTTTAGAAATTCTCTCTTTCGGGACCAGCAGTTGGCATTATGGCTATGTCACTGGACTTCCATGTAGTCAAATGTGGTTCAAGTCCTGGACCTGGTGGCTTAAACTCACACCAGGCGCGTGTGCGTGCGTGCCCAAGATCCCTGGAGGAGAATGGAGGAGAAGGGATTGCGGTGTGACCATCCCCCCTGGGGGGTTGATTTCTCGCTGTCTCTCTGTCTCTCTCTGTCTTTCTGGTGAGCGCGCGTGCCCTATAGCAAAAATCTCTCAAAAAAAAAAAAAAGAAATAAAAGAAAAGAAATCTGTCTTTCCATCCTTCCTCTCCGCCCTCTCTCTCCTCTCATCTTTCCCTCTCTCCTTCCCTCCTTCCCCTCTTTCCTCTCCTTCCCTCTTTTTCTGCCTTTCTTTCCTCTTTTTTTTCTCTCTCTCCCCCCACCCCCTGTCTCCTCCCCCTTTCCATCTTTCCTTGGACCTTCCTTGCATACCCACCCCAGCCTTCTTTGGGGGTGCCCTCCTCCCTGTCCCCCCCCACGTCAGTCAGTACAGCCTTTGCCAAATCCCCCAGCCCGAACCTCACAGCACAGGCCCACGCTGAGGAGACCGGACCCACCAGGAAGCCTAGCCAGGACCACCATGCCCAGGCCCTGGTGCGGTCTGCAGCCACGCAGGGGCCCCGCCCAGGTACCTGACGGACACAGGGCTGGGGCGGGCGGACCCGGGAGCCTGATTAAAGCATGGCTTCTCTGCCCGCCTGGTTCGCATTACCTCCGGAGGCCAGGCTCCAGGCCGACAGCTGGACACACTTTTCCAGGGCGCGGGGAAGGAGTCGGCCTTGTGTGCGCACACAGGCGTGGGCTCCGTCCGGGACAGCCCGTAATGGCTTTCACATGGAGAGCGAAAGGAACTTCTCCAAGCTCAAGCACCGATTTTCCTGTCAAGAGATTTTGGGTTTAAAAAAATATATTATAATCACAAAGAAAAGGGCTTTGGAGTTTGAACAAAAGAACCCGGCCATGTGAAGTCGGATCCTGAAATGGAACCAGAATCCTGAGACAATGTGGGTAGGAAGAAAGGGGGGGAGGGACCCCAGCAGTTGTCCCCAGCATGTTTCCCCAGCAGCGTGGCCAGGGCTGAGGGGACACTCATGGCCTAAAAGGGGCAGAAGAGAAACCTCTGCCTGAAGGGTCCCCCCCTTGCTCCCCCTCAGGGCCATTCCACCCAGCTCCCACCCCCTGAGGGTTCCCCCCAGGTAGGCTAGCCCAAGGGCCTGAGCCCCTGCAGGCGTTCAGCTCCTGGCTTCAGCCTCTCTCTGCCTCCAGGTGCCCCCGAGCCCCCTGCCTCCGCTTCCTTCTCTGTGAGCTCCTCTGTTAAACAGCCGCATGCACACGCCTGTTCCTAGGGCTGCTGAGAAATTCGCTGAGCGGACACGGGCACCCTCAGCTCCTGGTTCAGCTCCTGGTTCAGCTCCCCGCAGGTATGAGCTCGTCCTCCTGGGAGGACGACGCTGGGCTGGGAGGCAGCACACCGCATCTGCCCTAGGTCTCTGTCGGAGCGCAGTCTGCCCGTCTGTCTGTCCTGGCTCTCTGTCGGAGCGCAGTCTGCCCGTCTGTCCTGGCTCTCCCTTTCGGAGCGCAGTCTGCCCATCTGTCTGTCCTGGCTCTCTCTGTAGGAGCTCAGTCTGCCCGTCTGTCTGTCCTGACTCTGTCAGAGCACAGCCTGCCCGTCTGTCTGTCCTGGCTCTCCCTGTGGGAGTGCAGCCTGCCCGTCTGTCTGTCCTGGCTCTCCCTGTCGGAGCTCAGTCTCCCCATCTGTCTGTCCTGACTCTCTCTGTCGGAGCACAGTCTCCCCGTCTGTCTGTCCTGCTCTCCCTGTCGGAACTCAGTCTGCCCATCTGCAAAGCGGGCAGGCTTCTGGTCTCTTGAAGGGCTCTCAGCCCCGCCATCAGGGCTTCTCTGTGCCACACTGCTTTGTCCCCTGTTCCTCTCTCGCGCAGGCCCCTCGGGCAGACAACTGCTCCTCAGGGAAGTCCCCTCTCACCAGCGGCAGACAGTCCTCTCTCACTCAGGTCACTCTGAGCACCCCCGGTGTGACACCTGTGTCTGCGAGCCCCATCAGTGGCTTCCTGAGGGCTTCTCGACCCTCGACTCCACGAGGGACTGGCCTGGCCGGTTCCTCCTGGGCCTGCTGGTGCCCGCGGCACCCAGTGGTCAGTGGCATCCCAAACTGCGGATGAAGAATTTACAGAGCACCTACTGTGTGCCGGGGCCTGTGGCCACAGCGAGGAATGAACAAGTGGATAGAAAGATCGATGAGTGAATGAGTGAATGCGTGAATGAGCAGACGAAGGGAAAGGGTGAAGGGTGAGAAACGGAAGCCGCGCTTCTATGTCACTCGCTGTGCGGAGCCTGCACTAAGCCCTGGGTGGGTCATCATCGATCCCACAGCAACAGGGCAAGGCAGGCCCCACGATTATCTCAGCTATGCAGATGAAGACCACAGGCCCAGAGAGGGTCGGCAACTTGCCAGAGGGCACACAGCCAGGACGGTAGAGACAAGACTCGATCTTGGGCCATCTGGTTCCGGAGTCCAGCAGCTCAACCCCTCAGCTATTGGGTTCTCGGAAAAGTCATGACGCCCCGATGAAGGCACCTCCACAGCCAAGGAGGTGCTACAAAGAGATCATGAAGGGTGTTTGCAGACATGCCTTACCACCCCCAGGGGGCTGCGGGTCCCTGGAAGGACGAGTTGTGGCTGGTGCTTCCTGCGAGAGTGTCCTGCTGCAGAACCCAGAGACAGGGCCTGGCCAGCCTCCGAAGTGGCTCCAGATCCGGCTTGGGGTGGCTCAGGCCCATGTCACGGCGCGAGATGCCGTGGAATCAGCCTCCTCCCTGCTCTTCTCCCATGGAGGGACTGTTCACCTGCTGTGTGACCTTGGGCAGGACACCGAACCTCTCTGAGTCTTTTCTGCTCCTCTAGGCAGTGCGAGTCGTGCAATCGGCTGCAGAGATCGATGCTCCTGCATGGCAGCCGCATCCCCACCGGCTCAGAGCTGCACACGCCCAGGGTCTCCACCCCAGGAACCGTTTCAGGGCAGCCAGGGCCGCAGATGGGGAAGGACTCGCGCCTCCCGGGCCCAGCTGGCTCCTGGCCTGGGTCCAGCCTGGCCTCAGCCACAGGTCCTCCAAGCTTAATATCCTTGGCGGCGAGGCTGGAATAAGCTGCCTTTCAAGAGGGGAACTTTATTTATACGCCGATGCCAGTCGCGCTCCTGCTATTAGAAATTTCATCGGCTCCTTTGATTTAGGGCTTGCCACGAGCTGCCAATCGTGGCCGCCTCCTGGCCCGGCCCTGCCGCTCCCCCAACCCCCCTTCT